AAAGTAACAACAACAAACGAAACGAGAAATATATAAATCCCCAAGGCAACAACGCTAATTAAGGCCTGGAATTTGAATTTGCACTCAGCCTGTGCTTTCTCATGAGCGGGAAATCGATCAGGATGAGTTTCCCAAGCCTTCCTTTTGTACGCGGCTTTCACCTACTAAATAAATAAATTTTAAATTAAATGATGATGATGATGATGATGATGATGATGAATATATAAGATTCTTTCTTCATGTTCTAGGAGAAATATTTTTGACCGACCTGAGAAGGAGAGGGAATAGCAGCAGCAGCATGAGGGGGCAAACCGAGCAAGCTCATGGCCTCTTCCAACTTCATATCATATATCTATCACTCTTTCCCTTTTCAAAATGAGCGAAACCCAATCAAAATGACGAACAACTGATACGAGAGAGAGACACAAAAGTTTGGGTGAAAATCATCTCAATCGGATGATTCAATATTCTATTAACCATGAATATATATATACAAAATTAGGGCTACGGTTACCTAAAAAGAACCTAAGGCTAATATAGTAATTACACATATATACACAATAACACCCCCCCTCAAGTTGGAGCATGCTGATTTCGAATGCCCAACTTGCCAAGAAAGAAATCAAATTCGCGCTTCCCAAGCACCTTAGTGAAGATGTCAACGAGTTGTTCCCCAGAAGGAACATGAGTAGTAGAAATGAGGCCCTGAAGAACAACATCTCGAACAAAGTGACAATCCACCTCAATGTGCTTAGTCCGCTCGTGAAAAATTGGATTTGCCACAATATGCAGTGCAGACTGACTGTCACAGTGTAACCGCATAGGCTGAAAGTGAGCGACACCAAGAGTAGATAATAGTCCCCGCAACCACTTCAACTCGCACAATGTAGTAGCCATCGCCCGATATTCAGCCTGAGCAGAAGACCGTGCGACAGTAGGTTGTTTCTTGGTTCGCCAAGAAACAAGAGACTGACCCAGCTGAATAAACCAACCAGAAAGAGAGCGCCGAGTGAGAGGGCAAGACGCCCAATCCGAATCACACCATGCATAGAGTTGAAGATCGCAGTCAGTACGAAGATGAATCCCTGACCAGGAGAGCTTTTCAAATATCGAACCACACGCAGAGCAGAGTCCCAGTGAGCCTGACGCGGTTGATGCATAAATTGAGAGAGCATATTCACCGAATAAGACAGCTCAGGTCGAGTCACTGCCAGATAGATAAGACGTCCGACTAAACGACGATATCGCTCGGGATCAGACAACAGATCACCCTTAGCAAGAGGTAGCTGATGATTCTGCTCTAATGGAAAATCAGCTGGCTTGCTCCCAAGTAATCCGGCCTCAGCTATGATGTCAAGAGCATACTTCCGCTGACAGAGAAAGAATCCAGAAGAATTCCTGGCAACCTCGATACCCAGAAAATACTTAAGCAATCCAAGATTCTTCATGTGAAAACAACGGCTCAAGTAACTCTTGAAGGCCGCAACGGATGTGGTGTCATTCCCGGAAACAATCAAGTCATCAACATATATCAGAACCTCCAGATGGACAGAACCACGATGCAGTGTAAAAAGAGAGTAATCATGATAGGATTGACAAAAACCATACTGCTTCAAAGCCGTAGTCAACTTGGCAAACCAGCAGCGGGGGGCCTGTTTCAAGCCATAGAGGGAACGACGAAGACGACAAACTTGCCCATCAACGCCAGAACGAAAACCAGGAGGAAACTTCATGTAAACCTCCTCAGCCAAATCACCATGAAGAAAAGCATTGTGAACATCCATCTGGTGAACTTCCCAATGCTTAGCAGCAACCACAGCTAAGAATAACCGGACTGTAACCATTCTGGCGACGGGAGCAAACGTCTCGTGATAGTCAAGACCTTCCACCTGATTATTGCCCAAAATCACCAGACGCGCTTTATAGCGCTCAACGGAACCGTCAGACTTATGCTTGATCTTAAAGACCCACTTGCACCCAATCGCACGCTTCCCAGATGGAAGAGAAGCTACATCCCACGTGCCATTATTCTCCAAGGCACGAATCTCATCCTGCATAGCGGCTCGCCATCAAGGATCAGTCACGGCATCAGCAAAAGTGCGAGGCTCAACAGCAGAGGCGATAGCAGCCAAAAAAGCTCGATGAGCTGGAGAGAATGAATCACAAGAAACATAATGTGCTATAGGATAAGGTGTACCGGAGGATGGAGACGACTGAGGAGAAACAATGAGGGGTTCACTCGAGGGCCGGACAGTGTCAACCACAAAGTCCTTCAGCCGAGTCGAAGGAACTTTAGTCCGATGACCACGACCCAAGGGCTCCACTGGAAGAGTGGGAGGGGTAGTGGTAGCGGAACCCCTCCTATCGTCAGACGTGTTCATATCAGTAGCAGAAGATCCAGTATCAAGAGAAACATGAGGCAAAGGAACAACCGGAAGACCCTCATCATCATTCGGCGTAGAAGAAACGGACACAACAAGAGGCGGTGGCAAAGAATCTGGCTCAGACGAGTCTGACTGGTATGGGAATTCAGCCTCAAGAAACTCTACATCACGAGAAACAAAGAAAGTCTGACGATCCAAATCATACAAACTCCACCCCTTTTTGCCAAAAGGATAACCAACAAATAGACAACGACGACTCCGAGCAGCAAACTTGTCACCATTACGATCTTGGTTGTGAGCATAACAAAGGCAACCAAAAACTCACAAATGAGATAAAGAAGGAGCCGAACCATAAAGAATCTCATATGGGGTTTTACCATGTAAAACCGAGGAAGGAGTCC